TCTCTGTCCTCATTCTTTAAGTTCCCTCTCACTTTCATTCCATCCGGGTAGGCAAATTCAAGGTTTTTCAGTAATGGGAAGGTAAGGAGAGGCCAGGAACCACACACAGGCTCCTGAAGAGGTGATCACACACAAACACAGATTGACACTCAGTTCTGGGCCCTCCGGGCCCACAGTCTAGCTTAGCTCTGGAGTGCATGCTGAATGAGGTCCTGGATCCATTCCCTTGAGTCACATAAACCAGACATGGTGGCACTTGTGCCAGCAGGAGGGTCAGAAGTTCAAGGTCATTGTCTGCTACAAACCTTATTTAAGACCACCATGAGATCCTATTTCAAAATGAATAAATAACCAGGCCTGGTCACACATATCTTTAGTCCCAGTACTTGGGAGGCAGAGGCAGGCAGATCTCTGAGTTTGAAGCCAGCCTGGTCTACAGAGTGAGTTCTAGGTCAGCCAGGGCTTCATAGTAGTATATGCATGTGTGTGGTGTGCACTCTTGTCCATGTGTCCCTTCATGGACACCAGAAGTTAAAGTTGGGTATTCTATAAATCTCCACCTTATATCAAAGTAAATATAAATCAATGAGCAATCCATCTCGGGGCTTCCCATCCTTGAATGAACCTCTTCCCCAGGTCCTTCCTCACCAAGGTTCCTCTGTAGCTACGTATGGTAACTGAGTAGCTTCTTACTTTCTCTGTGTCTTTTCTGAATTTCGTCTCCCTCCACATCTAGGCATTTGGTGATTTTCAACTAATAACTCATGGGCTTTTTCCACAGCCCTAACCTCGTCACCGTTTCACAAGCAAGTATTGGACCACAAGGGCTTGGGTGTTGGCTCAGTAGATGAAGGGCTTGAGGTACAGGTGTGAGAACCTGGGTTCAGATCCACAGCGCCCACACAAAAACTGGACAACTGGCTACAATCCCAGCACTGGAAGGTGGAGACAGTTGGATCTCTGGAGTTCAGTGGCTGGCTGGGTCCTAGCTAATTTGTGGGCTGCAGGTTCAGTGAGAAAGTCTGTCTCAAAAATAAATAAATAAATAAATAAATAAATAAATAAATAAATGAATGAATGAATGAATGAATGAATGAATGAATGAATAAATAAATGAATGAATAAATAAATACATGGACTGGAGAGATGGTTCAGCCGTCAAGAGCACTGGCTGCTCTTTCAGAGGACCTAGATTCGATTCCCAGCACCCACATGGCAGCTTGCAACTATCTGTAATCCCAGTTCCAGGAATTGTATACCCCCTTACATGGTACACAGACATATATGTAAAATACAAATACACATAATAAAAATAGAATAATTTATTTAAAAATAAAGAAATGGAGAATGATAGAAGACATCCTGCTCTGACCTCTGGCTTCCACACAGGCACACATGGGCAAGTGTGCTTACATACATGCATGCACAACACACACACACACACACACACACACACACACTCCCAAAGTACTGAGTCACAGCAACCAATTCAAGTCCCCTAATGATCAAGTTTTAAGATTAAAGCTGGGTGTGGTGACACACACCTTTAATCTCAGCACTCAGGAGGCAGAGGCAACTGGATCTCTGTGAGTTCAAGGCCAGCCTGGGCTACATAGTAAGTTCCAAGACAGCCAGAGCAAATAGCTCAAATATAGTTAAAAAACAAACAAACAGACAGACAGACAAACAGACAAACAGATTAGCAATTAGAATGAGGTCATCTATCTCTAAATCCTTTCTATCTGCATTGCTCATTCACTGTGGGGAACAGAGTGTGGGCCAGATCCTGCCCTTATGAAGCCGACTGTCTAGTGATTTAAAACATTTATGAACCAAACTATGGTGAATGTTAGGAAAACATTATTGGGGCAGAGGACAGGGGTGGGGGTGGGGGTAGGGGGGGCTGACTTAGACTGAAGAATCAGAAAGGTTTCCTGAGGCAGTGATCTCCCTGCTTCTCTCTCTC